AACTATGCTCAAAAATAGCGCAGTAAAAATCAAAAGAAACACTTTAGGCACTATTTTAATCCATATAAATGCATGGATTAAAATAGTGATTAATGTGGATCGGATTAGGGTAGCCGTGGGTGGGTAGATATTATACCTCATCGAATTACATCAGCGTTTTTAAATCATTCCGGCTACAGTGCGTCCAAACGTGTCAGGCTTCGATGCATTTTCAAAAGTTTTCACTCTGGAAACCGTTTTCAAAAGTTTGCGATTACAATATGCGTTTTCACTGGATAGGTGTGGACGATAAGTGTAACCGCATTAAAATGTTTGCGGATACAAACGAATCCGTAAACGTGCGGACGGGGCCTCACTCACAATACAAACAAACAAGCAACAAACACCTTACTTTAGACTAATCCACCATAACAATACACAATTGAGACCCACACACTTACACATTTTCTGTACACACAATACGAGGACGTAAGAACCAGATAACAAATACGTCTAACCTGACGTTTACACCTCGATTGACTCTGAAAATGACTAACGCTAAGATTGTCAAAACGTCAGTCAACATCAATACCAACAGTCCTTCTCTGGACTCTACTAACGTAGATGATCTACATCCACAAACATTTGATGATAGTTGTTAGCGTAGACAGATTCTATGTTTGGGGTTCATGTAAAAAGCTATAATTTTGAAACGAATGAAAGCGGTGTAAATTTTAATTTGTGACGTTTCAATGGTTCGTGCATTATGTTCAAGCAATGTTTACATGAGAACTTTTAAAAAAGGAATGAACATAAAAAACTTAAAGGTTTTTAAGGTCACGATTGCAACTATTTGCGCTGTAGTTGTGAACTTAACTTAAAAATTAAAGAAATGCATTTACAGATAGGAAAATATCTTGAAACATAAACGACGCACAGACGTAAATTATAAATACATATAAATAAGGAACAAAATTCAAGCCGACCAGGTTTCATGCATCCGTACGTTTCTTTAAAGCGTTTTCCAATAACCGAGTTCTTTCTAGTTCATCAGTACGTTGGTATGAGTGTCGATATGTGTATCCAATGCGTGTACCATTTCGTCATTTGTTTTCCTCCGAAATTAAAAAAGTATGTCGGCAAAAGCTGAATCCGAAATTCATTTTTCGTTTGTCAAGTTATTGTGCATTAGTGAAAAATTTCTTTTTTCATACATATATTCTTGTATTTACTATATTTTTGAAAGCACTTTGCTGTGTTTTGATAATTATTATAAGAATTCACTTTCCCTCTGGTTTATCCCTGGTCACTATTCTAAGATGGAAATGTCTTGCAATTCAGTGACGATGTGAGTTTAGAGATCAAAGAGCTTTTATAGATCATTAATTTAGGGGAGTAAGGTCACAGAATAAAAATATACTGAAGGGTCACTCGTGTCGCAACTTTTGATGTTTTTGTCTTCACGCATGTTGTTACGCGCATATCGGCTGCCATTATTCCAGCCAGTCGATAAGGATCTTTTACTTTTTCCCAACCTTCATAAAATGATCCGAAGTCATTTCTTAAGTCAAAATATTCTCGAATTCATTTTTCATAAATGACATCATGTAATTTTACGGAGTTTTAATGGTGAGAAACCCTATGATCAACTGGTTGGAAGAGTGGCTGACGTGAGGACGTGTTGCACACGTTAGTGACCCTTGTGCATAATCATTCGTCTGTGGTAGGGTGATAAAAAGAGGATAGTGGAGTCATCAAAAGAAGCTCTATGACCTGATGTGTTAGTATGAGATAATATGTTGGATGTAGAAAGTAACAGACAATTTTTAGTGTAAAGACGAAACGTTTCTTTAAATAAATTCTTATTTGTTATTCAAATGGCTATGCTAAAAGGTACATAAATTTATCAAGAAGCATCTTTGGAGATAGTTTACCAAAGCTGTATTTTCAGTCTGTGGAGTATGGTATAATCTTTCGAATGTTCGTTTAGACGAATACGAACACTGACTATTTTATAAGTATCATATAAGTATTTTTTCAAACTAGTTTTTCCACAGGTTTTTCACACTTGTTGTGTCACGTGTCACCCTCTTTTAATAAAGTTTCATCATCATCATTATCATTCTTTATCACCTGGTGTTAAATGTTATTTCCTATTTAATATTATATAGTGACGAACAAGATCGAACCTTGCATATTATTTATTAGTTAGTGCTTATATGCTTCTTTAGCCAAGACTAGTTTGGTTACACTTACTTTATCGTCATTTGTTTAAAGAGTCACTTTGAGCATTTCATCTATTTTTGCTACTTATGACAAGATATTAAATATTATAAAGGAAGAAACAATTTGCTGAGGGTTTTGAGATTGACTTGTATGACATGTGGTTGTCTTTTATGGGAGGACGATAACCTTTTTATTCACTTTTGAATTTGAATGTACACACATTATCTTGAGCTTCGTCCAGAATTTAATAAATAGGATAGACTTTTTTATTAGTATTGTTCTCATAATTTGCAAACATCGCAAGTGTATGTTTTAAACGAACCGCATGCGTACAAAATTATTTGTCTTATGAATTTATTATGGTTCAACTTTGTAAACACAACAAGAATAAACAGACATTACTTCTTTTTAGGTAATATTCGAGATTCACTTTACGAGCATAATGGCATGAAGTTTACGACAAAAGATTCAGATAATGATAAACGTAATAATGGGAACTGTGCTAAACAATCTAGAGGTGGTTGGTGGTTTCATAGTTGTTATAGTGCCTTGTTGTGCAGTAATCATATATGGTGGAGTAGTTGGGGTGGTTCTATGAAGTTCGGTGAAATGAAAATCAAACCGTAAATACTCTCTCATAAAATTTTGCGTTCTTGACTTTGATTTCCTTATAATATTTATTACTATTGTAAAATATGTTATGTAGCTTGTCTTAATGCTTTTAAACCTGTTGAAAAGAATTGATGTTTCTAAAATGTTGTTGAAGTATGAAAATTGGGTGCATCTTATCAAGTAGTAAAAAACGCGTATTTTTGGTTGTTGTGATTAACCTGGCAATAAACTTGCACTGTGTCAATGCTTTATATCATTTATTCAGGCTATTAAATTTCAGTAAAACCACGTAATATATTTTATAGCAGATAGATTCACAAAATAATTAGTTAGTGGACCTGGGATTGCTCAAACAAAAAATGTTGGTGCATTTAGTCACATTTATCTTCTAAAACTCGACCTTAGCTTCTATGTACAAATGATGTGATACGTTTTCGTTCAAAAATCATAATTACAAAGTGTACATGATTATTTTCTTTGCGATCTATGAAATTTGACTAAACAACAGTGGATTCCTCTAGAGTAACGGTTTCTGCAAAGATGATAGCTACCAGTTGTTTCTACTGCATCCTTTATTCATTACGTAATAAAGTGACCAAAAAATTATTAAAAAGCAGTGACTAGCTAATACCAAGAATATTGGAGATTACTAAGTTCAATCTATCAGCAGCTGCTATGTGAAGAACGAATGAAGCTGTGGTAGTTTTCAACAGTTATGTAGCCAGCCTGCTGATTTATTCCTACTATACAAATTTTGAAAGATTTACCATCAATTATTACATTACAAATCTATTTTTCTCACGGTCCATGACAAGAATATTAGCATTGCTGGGGTAAAAATCGTGCTGGCTACACTGCTGGATTTCAAAATAGCTAGGCAATGCTTTGTAAGTTATGCCTTGTTTTTTTCCTGAAACATTAACATCATGGACGCAGACTGGTTGCAATATGAATTGTCTGAGAGTAAAGCATGAAAAGGCAAATTGCACATGGGTGTTTACAAGTCATACAAGGCAAGAAAGATTTATGGCATTGAAAATTTTGCAACTTGTGCAGACTCCTTATTTTTACAAACTAAATCAGACAACAGACAGACAGCCTAAAGCGCACCATAAAGAAAAAGCTTAAAAATGTAGTGATCTTCTTGTCTGGCCAATGAATGTACTGAAGACAGTTTTAATAACAGCATTTTTTTTCGGAGGGGGAGGAAGATGGTTTGAAAGTTTTGAAAGAAGGCAAAATTCTCCTTTAAACCTAGTTACATAGTCTGTAAAATCAGTTAACAGTTTAGTGGAGTGTACACAGTTGTTGAAAACAATTGATCTCAACCAGATAATTCAGATAAAAATGAGTTATATATAAAGAATACAAAAAATGCAGCTTAATGAGTAAGTACGGAACAATAAACGTTTTTCCAAAAAAACAATTGAGTGCAAGGCTTTGAAATCATGAAATAACACTATGAGTTTGTGCATGTTAGTTTTGACAGATTTGCAATAGTCACATTTTTATTGACTTGAGAGAAAATAACATGTCAATGCTAGATAAATGCTTGTTAGACAAAGTTGCAGTGGCGCCTTCGCTATTTCTGCACATTTGAATAGTTCTCGAGCGTAAAGTAAATAAGATATTTTTCCTTGAATATTTAAATCAATGAAGCATTCCAAAATATGTTTGCGAAATTTTAGAACTTAAAACTTACAATTGATGAGTTTCTTGCTCATGAACACTGACTATTCTTGAAATAATTTGTCAGGCTAAGTGTACAAACACATGCAACTTTTTCACTTACACCCGTTTTTTTTTTTTAATTGACTAGTTTCCATCATAGTTACTGGAAGCAATAATAAAATTTATGGAGCAACATTGCATAAAATTTTTTTGACCTTTTGAGCTCTGTCGATTTTCAAAAATCCTACAAAAGAAAGTCCTCGGCTATCATGGAAAAGAGAGAAACATGGAATACATCCAATAAAAATGTAATCAATACCTATAGAAGTGTTTAATACAGAAAAATCTTACATCACGATTCACAAAACTGGCGAAATAAAGGTAACAGTCTACAATTTCCTTAGGATAATGCTTCGAGCAAAATGATTTGTTTATATTTTTTCGTCATGCAAGGACAGTTTTCATTGACATAACTATTATTTTATTGGCATACACCACACAAATACGCAAATTTGGAATGCGATATTTTCATTTAACAAGGAATAAATATCATTGTCCTACTATAAACTTGGACAAAATCTGATCATTGGCCAGTGAGGAAACTAGAGAATACTACAAAGACAAGAAAGATGGTCCTGCACCTGTCATTGATGTTGTCAGAGCTGTAAGTGTTGACGGTTTTGTTCTTGAGGATTAGCAAAGAACAAATCGTTTATTTCATTGGTCTATTTGGCGTCTTATCCCAACACAATAATTTGTCTTAAAAGAAATTGTAGAAATGGGTAAACACAATATGAAATAACTTAAATGCTGTATTATATACAGCACCGAGTTTACTGAACTCATTTTCATATTTCTAAATCTTCGAGGCTTGAGCACCAGTGAATTGCAAATGATAAAATTGCTGTTAGTATAGTAGATTCATGATGCATAATGTTTATCATTTTATTTTGTCAAATAAAAACAATGAAACGCGTGCATTGATTGGTCTAGAGCTGTTTTTGCATTAGCCTGTGCAAAACACATCTGAGCTCAAACAATCAAATCGATCAATCAGTCAAAGAGAATTTGCAAATCGATCACGAATACATTTTAGAGGAAAAATTAAAATGCATGTCTTTCGCATTATTTTATTTTATAAAAGAAATAAAAGATGTTTTTCGTGTTTGCACTGGCTTATGCAAACCTCGCAGACGTTTGTGAGAACTCTCGAGCATGTGCAACCTTCGGTCTAGGGCTTGCACTGATCAACTCTCGAGTTCTCCCAAGGGTCTCCTCGGTTTGCATAAGCCTGTGCAAACACAGTAAACATCTTTTATTTCTTAAATGTAAAAACATTGTTACCCGACTGTTTCACATTTAACTGTTTTATGTTCAAAATTCATTGTGTTATATTTCTGTGGAATTTTTTATTTGGAGTTTTATAATCATACTATTTGGAAAAATTTTGTTGTTGATAATTATTTTATTTCTAGGGCTATTTCAAAGTACTGGGAAAAGGTCTACTCCCCAAACAACCAGTAATTGTAAAGGCGAAATTTTTCAGCCGCAAGGCCGAAGAAAAAATTAAAGAAGTTGGCGGAGCCTGCATTCTGGTGGCGTGATTAAATAAATTATTCATTACAACTTTTGTCTTTGTTTTTATTTAATGCGAATCGTGTAGAGCGCATTTTCTGCTTGTGTTTGTCGTAATTTGCATTAAACTATCAATTTTTAAAGAAAGGGTAAGCGAATGAAAGCTGAGTCGTGTCCAAAGGAATGCATTGTTAAATGCCTTTTTTCACATAACATAAAAGTTTCTGCATTTTTCCCCCACTTTATCTTCATTGCGAATGGGCTCATAAACATCACTGGCTATCGCTTCTTTTTTCAGAATTAGCGTCTACTTTGTGACATTCCTTAATAAATTCAAACGTGAACTAATCCCATCTAAACACGTGACTTCATTTGGTTTCACTCGGTTCGTACAAGAGCATTATAATAAAGTTCCTTAGCATTTCTACGTTTGTCGGCGTGTTTACGTCTTACTTTTTCATCGTGGTCTTCTTGCCAATGTTTCTGTCAATGATGGCTCAGATCGATCGTTTTGTCGACATTATTTAACCTGCAACTTGCGACATTATAGACATACTTTTTTGGGTAATGTTTTAAAATATTTAGGTTTTACTTTCCTACAATTTGGCAAATGGAACAATTTAAACAAAAGCATACAATGTTGATGCAAAATGTTTTCATGTTAATTTTGGTAAACACCGCCACTTGAAAAGAAATAAAATTTTAAGAATATCCCTGTTTTATCCCTTCGATCCTTGTTTTATCCCCAGATCCGTGTTTTATCCTCTCATCCGTGTTTTATCTACACATCCGTGGTTATACCGGTCACAAACCCGGTACTGCACAAACTCAACGACAGTGAGTTGAAGGAATATAGTAAGAAAGAATATAGCAAATGGTTTTAGTATGATTGCATGCTATAGTTTAATTCACGCCTTGTACATTTTGTCTCAATTTAAATAATTTTCGTTATTTGCTTCATGTATTATAAGAAAATGAACGAAAGAAGATGACAGGTGTCATTTTATGTTATTCATGAAATACTAAACCTAATGATTGAGGAAGCTATAATTCTTCAGGTTGAAGGATTTTTCTCAGCTGTAGGTGTTACTTTGTTGTTTTTCATGATCACTCTGGAGTTTGAAAACCTGTTTATCACCTTATGAGTTATGCCTGCATTTTTGTTAAACACTCTTATACTATATCTTTTTAATGAAATTTTATTCCTCAACGCATTCTATTAAATATAAGTTCTATGTATTTTAAGATCATAAAACTTGAAGAATGACATAATTTTCTCTTTAAAAATGCCTTTCTCTTTTTTAGTGATATAGTGCTTTTACGCTTCACCTGTTGTTGGTTATTTGCACTTTCATCTACGTCTTACAATAAAATTGACGTTTGTTTTTTATTAAGCTTATTTATTGTAATGATGACATCTATAATCAAAACAGCACGTCATTGTCCTGTAAAAGCTTTTAATTTCAGTCCATGCTTTGAAGTAAAAATATTTTTCGCGCATTAACGCTAACATCATACAGCTAGCGAGAATCATAGCGTGATGCCATATTGCAGAGAAAGCTGCAATATGGCATCACGCTAGCGTGGATGCGTTGTAAACTGTCTTTCGCACTGATTAGGTCAGCAATTACTGCGATACGAGGAAGTCGATCTGCCTCAACTCACGAACATGCTTTAAATATTGACCTAGGTAATTGGGAAAGTTGTCTTTACATTTGACTGTCCCTTTATCATGGATATTTTTAAACACTGATTTTAGTCATATTTGATTTAGTTTTTAAATATTTATATTTGTAATAGATAATAATGATCATACAGCTAAATATCGCTTAAAGAACCTATTATATTGCTCAAGCCAGAATTAATCTTAAACCACAAAACAAAACAGAACTCTGCATGTAAAACTGTCAAATAATTTTAAAATGAGGTTTCTTGCAAAAGTTTTTAAACTAGAAACGTTTGTAGCTAATTAATACAGACCAGGTGGCTTTATTGATCATTAACAAAAATATGTGAAACGAAGACATATTCCAGTACTTTAATAATTTATAGCTCAGTTTTACCTTAATGGGTTGTCTATCACATGGGATATAAATATCTCTAAAAGCTTAAAAATATCTCTACAAGCTTAAAAATTATCTGTACAGGCTTACACATGTTGAAATTAAAGAAAAATTGCCATTTATGGCCTGTCGCAGAATTCGTTGAGTTCATCCCAGAAATTGATCTGCACTCTGATTCTTAGTTGTCGAAATTTTATTAAGAAAGGATTATGCGACCAATTCACAACAATCTCAGACAACTTAACATTCTTATCGAATTACAACTCAACTCTTTGCTCTAAATTACTTCTATTTATACGAATGGTTTCGTGCGTAGGAAATTAAAGTTTTCATGCAAAATGTGACTTAAATTATTAAATAGGAAATTCCACGTAAATAAATAGTAAACTATAAGTTCATCCTTTACGTTAAGGAAACTACACCTAAATTCTAATTACGAAAGGCTATATTCATTGGTGAGGACGAAACATTGAAAATTTCTTAACCAGTAGAGCAACTGCATAGCGATGATGCAAAATCTGGCTCCTAAAATGAAAAATTATTCAATTAGTAATTCCAACATAACACCGTTTCAAGGGAGAATGGTTCGTTTCCTAACAGAAAATTTTAAAATAATGGATCTTATAAAAATCCTCATTTAAAACAAAGTTCAACTTTTTTTTCAAAAACAATTGTCTCGTGACGGTTCAAAACTCGAAGCAAAATCCCCATAAACTGACATATATATATTTTCAATATATTTTTACATGTGACAAAAAGAGAACAAACTAAAAATGAATGGAGGAGGGGCACTTGTAAAAAGTTACTCGTTCACAATTCTTTTCTGCCAAACATAGGCAAAAAAACGACGGGTAAGGAAGAAGCGGGGTAAGTCCCGATACAACACATCAATGTTTTCAAAGTTTCATTATATGCTATCGACAAAACATAAAGATGAATCTTTAGAGTCTACAGAAAGTAATATCAAAATTTTTCCAACCTCTTTCACAACAGAACAGTCATATTCAGGAGAAAGATTAGATTTTTCAATTTTAATCTTTAAACCAGCGGATTCGCGTAACTCGGATTCAACAAAAGTAGGTAGAGGGGATTGTATGGGTGAAACAAGGGTTTTGCTGGAAAGTACAGGACTAGGAGATGGAGTTGATGAGGACTGTGAAAGATCAGGGGAGAGTCGGGGTAAATTGGGATAGGATGATTGATTGTTGACAGTTGATATTGAGGGTGCTGACGCAGAACGTTCACGAGCTTGAGGTGTAGGTAAATTATCTCGTCGTAAGATACAACTTAGCATGTTATTTAAATTGACTGTCGGTTAGCTGAAAATGTTAAAACACTAACAGTTAGTTACACAAACATCAAAGTAGAATTTCTACTTGTCCTTATCGCAGTGACGTGCGTAGCCAGCCCGCAAAGTTGGTTGTGCCATGTAAATTTCAGAACATTAACACTTCATTAGAGAGTTACTGTTTTTATAGTGAGTGAAGACCTAAATATTTTACACAACAGGAACAAACTTTACGCAACTGGAACAATTAAAAGTATTTATCCCCTCAGAACACTGATATCGTTGAAGTTGTCTTGTTGAGCAGTTAACACTTCAAATGATTCGTTTTCTATTAGAAAAAAGACTATAACGCTTTCTTTTTTACAACACTTTCTTATAACGCTTTAATAAAACACTTTCTTATAACGCTTTCTTTTCCATAACGCTTTCTTTTCCATAACGCTTTCTTAAAACACTTTCTTATTACGCTTTATTTCTTATAGTTATAAAACTATGAAACTATATATAAAATTATATAACTAGATAACTAAATAACTATATAACTAACTGAAAATAAAATAAACCACGAATTGCTTCATCGAAATTTATTCCCTACAGAACTGTTTCGTAGATCGTGACTAAAACACCACACGAGTACATACGAGTACATACGAGTGACATACGAGTACATACGAGTAACATACAAGTACATACGAGTAACATACGAGTACATACGAGTGACATACGACTATTTTCTGGTCAACAAATGAGAAACAACACAATTTCTTCAATACATTGATATTTGCGTTTATTTTTCCTTGTATTTGTGTGGACTTTGGGGCAACCATTTGATGGATTTAAATGCTGAAAAGGTATTTTACTTTCATACATCATTCATTTGTATGTTTTAGTTGAATTTGTTATAGATATTTTGTCGATGCGATTTGCCAGTATTTGAGCGCTTTTTGACACACTTTCACCTAGGAAATACATATTTATGAAAGCGATTAAATAAACAACGTATAAATAATGCTTTCAAAACGTGCTATATGAAATAAATGTACATTATATATATTTGAATTAAATGAGAGTTGCACTGTGTCACGTATATATATCATATTATGCGTACAATTTCAGCTTACTTTTAATGTTTTTAAAGTTCTAGCTGATATAATTCAGTCTTTTAACTGCAAAATCAGTATCTTAAAGACCAAAATGAATGTATAATCGCTTTCATAAATATGTATTTCCTAGGTGAAAGTGTGTCAAAAAGCGCTCAAATACTGGCAAATCGCATCGACAAAATATCTATAACAAATTCAACTAAAACATACAAATGAATGATGTATGAAAGTAAAATACCTTTTCAGCATTTAAATCCATCAAATGGTTGCCCCAAAGTCCACACAAATACAAGGAAAAATAAACGCAAATATCAATGTATTGAAGAAATTGTGTTGTTTCTCATTTGTTGACCAGAAAATAGTCGTATGTCACTCGTATGTACTCGTATGTTACTCGTATGTACTTGTATGTTACTCGTATGTACTCGTATGTCACTCGTATGTACTCGTATGTTACTTGTATGTACTCGTATGCACTCGCGTGGTGTTTTAGTCACGATCCTGTTTCGTATGGCAGTTGTTTAACTTGCCACACTCGCCAGAAGAATAAATATAGCACTATATAAACGATATAACTATATATAAAATTATATTAAA